CTAATGACGGGGGCTTAAGTGGAGAGGAAATGTTTTGAGAATGATGAGGGCAATGAATATACAAATGTGCTTTACACAATTGATGTATGTATGGAATGTGATAAGAGTTGTATGAGCCCCTAATAAAATGATTAAAATTAAAAAAAACATAAAATTCTTTTTGTTGCTACTTCATAACTGTAATTTTGCTACTCTTATGAATTGTAATGTAAATATCTGATATGCAGAATGTATTTTCATTGTTATAAATTAAACATAATTAAAGCATAGTGATAATCACAAAAACAACAACAAAAAAGGATACAGCAGAAAAAAATGTAAATCTTAAAAAAAACCAACATTGGCCTCTGTTGCCTCCCTTGCCAACCTTCCTCTTAGTGCACTCCTCTTCCCCTTTACCCCAATTAATACTTGTTTACCTAGCCCGTGCTTCCCCGCCCCCACAGCATTCCCTTTCCTAATTACTATCACAGAAGGTTTTAGTGTGAAAATCTTCCCATGACTTTTAATAATAGTGGTCTCATACCTTGATATAGTTCATCATATTTAATCTTTAGTAATTTTAAATCTGAATTTTTATAAGGAATCATTAAGATTCATTTTAAATGCAAAGTACCCTTAACATAAAGAAATCTGACCAAAAGTATTTTCTTTCCTCAAAACAAGGGTTCAAAAGTATTCCCTTCCTTCCCAATTATTTTACCTTTTTTTTCTTTTCTATCATTTTATTGGGGGCTTGTACAACTCTTATCACAATCCATACAGCCATCCATTGTGTCAAGCCTCTAATCCTTTCTAAGTGGTCATTTTCTTGGCTGTGGGTAATTTTCTTCACATGCAAAAGCTGAACAGTTGCTTTGGTTTTCCTGAACTTCCAAATGCATTTCCACAATTCATGGGTCACAGCTGGGTTCCTCCTCTCTGCATTGCAGCTTAGAAATATTCTCAAGGCAAGCGACTACAGCCCTGGCTGACATCTTGACTGAAACTTTATGAGGAAACCCAAGACTACCTAAATCACGTAGGAATTTCTGACCCATTGTAACTGTGAGATAGTGGATGTTTATTGTTTTAAGCCACTACATTCAGGGATATTTTGTTACACAGCAATAGACAACTAATACAGGAACTAAATTCTATTCACGTTGTAGGAAGGATCAGTTGAATTCTCATCCATTCTCCATCATTTCCATCTCCGCCCAACCCACGATGCACAGACAAAACCCCCAGCTGGAGCACTGACAGGAAAACTTTTCCTCTATGACTCCTTTTGAGATGATTTAGGAATAAAGTTCCTTCACAAGAACCCAACCCAACTCAACCCACTGCCATGGAGTTGATTCCAACTCATAGTGACCCATTGTGCTATTTTAACAAAAGAAGTATAAAGCAATGGATATTGGTTTTATACTTTATAATATCAACAAACATATTATCTTTCCATTTTCAATGATAGAAAGTGCGGCACTTAAAAATGATTCAATTTAGCAGTAGATTTAGAACACTTCCTTCTTTGGAAATCTTAAATAAGGGAATTTATGTCTATTTAATAAGATGCACTGGTACAAAGCTGCCTCAGAGAAGGGGATACACTTAGCACTTGGAATACCTTTCTCATTTCTGTCATTCTGAACTTTACGTACAGGAGACAGGGAAGATTTGGATTTTATTTGAGCAGGAGGTGAGGCAGCGGTGTACGTGTGAGAGAGCTGGGTAAAAGCACCACCTCTGGCCCATCCTTTTCCTTTTAAAAGCCCAAGGGGAGGAGTCCTATATGGAACTGTAGAGAAAATATTTTCATTTCTTCACAAGTTTGCCTTTCAGAGCAGAAGAAACTGGAACCCAGGTGGAAATTTAGAGACTTATTTCCCCAATTGTTTACATTTCAAAGGGAACTAAAACTCAGAGCCTCAGAGTCAGTTTTCACCTAAATGATGAAGGAGCCAAAGTTCTCACCCTCCTTTTTGCTCTTTCTTATTTTTTTGCAGGAGTAGGGCAGGGGGATCAAACTAATTTCCAGATTCAGAGTTCATAATTTTGGGGTTCTTCTCTAACACCCTAAATCTTCTGTGGGTATTGGGTATGGAGAACTGGCATAGCTATTGCTGTAAGTAATCATTCTGATTCCCAACTTCGGAAGTCTCACATTTATTTTCAGGACAAAATATAGACATGTAAAATATGATCCCACTCACCACAAAGGGGAGGATGCACTCGTGCTGATTTTGTACCATGTATAAGCTGAACAGGGACATGCGGCTGGGGCCCATCAAGCTGCAGGCAAGAGAGAAAAAGTTCTGCAGAGCCTCACAGAGGTTGGAGCAGATGCCAGACCAGGAAGGTAGAGTGACGTGCACAATGAGGAGTCGTGAGGGTTGCTGGTAGAAATGTGCAGGGATGGAGGACCCTTTGCCAGTAGCGCGCCCATGATGCATGGCAGTGAGACCAGAGGTGGAGCTGCAGCCACTACTTGGATATTCTTGACACCTATAAGGGAAGAAAAAGAAATGACTGGCTTTTATAAAACAGAAGTGTGTGCTTGGTGGACACAATGAACAGTGGTCTACGGGACTAAGTCCAGAAAGGAGTCACACTTGGCACTAGATTCACTAACATTGTTACACTCTCTTAATGGCTACAATAATTTATCTGGGGATCTTTTGGACTTGCTGTTTATAATCATATAATCTGTGAATCATGACATGCACTAAAATATATGGACAAAGGCAGATCGGCAGCAAAAAGGACTGTTCATAAATAACAGCTTTGCTCACAGTTAACCCCTACTATAAACAGTATAGGTTAGCCATTCTAAGATAATGTCAATCTATATTAGAATGGATAAATTGTAGTATGTGCACACATACAGAGATAAAAATGAATGAACTAGTTACATGGGGACCCTGTAGGACAGGGTAAAACTGTCCTTGTGAATTTCTGAGACTGTAATCTTTGACAGAAGTAGAAAGCCTGTCTTTCTCCCAGGAAAGAATGGTGGTTTCAAACTGCTGACCTTTCAGATTACAGCCCAGCACGTAACCGCTATGCCACCAGGGCTCCTAAATTGCTAGAAATAGATACATTTTTTAGGGGTGAATACATCGTGCTAAAACTATAAAGCTCCTCCCCAGGATGTGGGGCCAGGACTTGGTAGCTGGTGCTGAGAGAAAACTCACAGTTGCATCCTTGCCCTGGGACTGTGCCAGTGGCAGTGTCAGCTAATGGGACAGAGAAGGAGAAAAAATAGAAAAAGAAAAAAAGAAGGAAAAAAACTATAAAGCAAGGAAATGATTATCATAAAACTCAGGGTGATTTTCTCTAGGAAGGAATTAGAAGAGAATGAACAGGGGTGGGCCTCGGGGATATTCGCAATGATCTGATTCTTGATCTTTATTATGATTACTGGCTGCTTACTTTATAATTATTAAATTATACATTAGTGTTTGATGAAATCTCCTCTATATGTGTTATAAACCCAAACCAAATCCATTGCCATCAAGTCAATTCTTATTCATAGCAACCCTATAGGGCAGAGCAGGACTGCTCGCACGGTTTTCAAGATGGTAAATCTTTGGGAGACAGACAGACTCAGCTTTCTCTCATGGAGCAGCTGGTGGGTTTGAACCACCTATCTGCATGAGCAGCCCAACACTCACCCTGCGTCAACATCCGGTTCCTTACAGATGTTATAATTAGCAAATTTATATATTTAAAAAAGACCATTAGGACAATCATAGATCAAATTGTTATTTAGATAAAGAAACAGTTTACTTACTTGGGGAATAGAAGTGGTTTTATTGTTTTTTAGTTAAAGAATGCCAAGAAAATAAAAGCTATTTTAATTTTCCCAACAGGCAGGAAAAAAGCCAATTATGATCATTTTCAGAAACATTCTACATTTTATGATCTTTAGGAATTCTCTAAGAATGTATAGATAAATGTACTTATCTCTTTTTTGGGGAGATGAAAATGTACAAATTTACATATACATTTATATATATAATGACATGACATATCTATATGTACAACATGGCTGGGACAGTTAAAAGTATACAAGGATGTTTGCATTTTCCCCTTCCCACATGGATTTTAGACTAAGGAAGACAGCATGAGGAAATGGACCAAGAAACAAAAAAAAATTATATACAATTACATGGGTTAGTCAAGGAGTTTGGGGGCTAGGAAGTCCAGGGATCCTGCTCTCTCCATTCCTTCCTCATCAACTTGTCCCGTTCAACTTTTCCCAATCTGAATGACAGCCTGGAAAGCTGAATGGCCAGTCAGGAATGAAGCATCCCCCGCCCTCCCATGTACACTAGCAAGTTCATCAGTCATTCTTGTCAGGCCAAATACCTGGCGTGTCAGAGCTTGGGGGGTGAAAGGGCTCTTGTAGATGGCTGGTTCTCACCCTGGCCCTCTGTCATCACTAAAAGCTACTTCTCTTTCTTTCTTTTTTGATAAGTGCATTTTAAAAGTGAGTGCTAGTGTTATTGGACATGTGTGTCAGAGCAGAACTGTGCTCCAGCCTCAAAACCAAACCCACTGCCATCTAGTTGATTCCGACCCTATGGGACAGAGTCGAACTGCCCTTTGGGTTTCTGAGACTGTAAGTCTTTCCAAGAGCACCTTACCTTTCTCCAGTGGGTTCTAATAGATAACTTTATGGCTAGCAGTCCAGTAGGTAACCCACTATGCCACTTGGGCTCATTATAGAGTTACATTGTGTGTGTGTGTGTGTGTGTTGCTTGAGTGCAAGCTGACAGAGAATTTTAGTTTTCCAGTCAACAATTCATATGCATTTTATTTTGTGGCATTAATTGCAATCCCCTCAATATAATAGCATTGTTTCCACTTTTCCCCTGGGTTCCCCAATTCCATTTGCCCACTTTCCTCTGCCTCTTTCTCCCCTTTTGGTTTCCATGGGGCTTTCAACAGCTAATTTTGATAGTAGACAGCCAGCCTTTCTTCCAAGATGCCTATGTGGACTGAGCCTTCAACTTTTCTTTGAATTAACACCTGAGCATATCAGCCCTTTGCACCACCCAGGGACTCCTCCAAATGAACATGCAGTTATTTTATTCAAATTTCCCTTTTTTGAATGGTGAAACTTTGTATTCATTTATTCAACAATTTGTTTTAATGGAGCTTCAATTACGTGCTGGGTACAATAAGTTATTATTTACTTATTAGCAAATATATGCTAATCTGTTTAAATTAATCTTGAACCAAAAATCCAAATCAATGACTAAATGACTAAGAAAGCACTTGTCATAAGCATCTTTTAACAAGTGCTTGGGGTCAATTTCTGCATGGAATGATCCATTTGAGGCTGACACAGACTAATAGATACACAGATGGCTTATTTGATGGAGAAGTTTCAGTTTCTACTTCCCCTGTCCATCTTCCCTCTCATCTGAAACCTTTTTTCTGTCATTAGTGTATAGGCAGTCTGCAGTTTGGATGGCTTCAATCTGTACAGATTTCAGCTACGACAACTTAATTCAATAACAACAACCTTCCAACAATACGATGAGCAAAGCTATAAAGTCAAATAGCAGCTAGCTCTTCCGTTTACAAATCACTTTGTAAATAACAGATGTGCGATCCCATCAGTGACTGATCATAACATTGTTCCTAGCTTCGGTTGCTGACTACACACGCCTGCAGCTGGATTATCTCCAAGTCTTGTCATCAAGTATAAACACATGGAGCAGTTCACAAAAATGAATAAGTGAGAGAGACGATTCATAACAGAGATGAAAAGTGACAATGCTAGACATGAAACTTGAGTAGAACATAAATGGAGTCATCGAAGAAAGCACTGCCCATGAGGATGCTGACACCTGCCAGACTCTAGATCCACAGCCAGAGGAACTTAGTAAGGTGCACTTACTGACAGAAATGAGGGTGGTTGTGACCAAATGGCTCGAAATGCCCCAGAGAAAGTAACAATGACACAAGACCTCACATTCAACATTCTTGTAGTATCAGAGCTTACATTGTGAGCTTCTGGTTTGCAGAACGCTATATAGGGAGGATAGTGGGAGCCCAAAACACATTTGCAGGATCTACACAGGGAATAAGCCTCTGGTGATTTCCTGCTAACCATAATTGAGGGAGGGCAATAACCTGGGGATCAGATAGAGTACTGGAGAGACGATGACAGTAGATCAAAATGGTAACTCTGACTTGAATGGCTAAAACCTTGTCACGACCTCCCATCTGATGCACTTTGGACTTGATCAGGTATTTAATATTTTCTGTGGGGTTTTTTTTCATATTGGGGTTTATCTCTGTTGTATCTTATCTTTGTTGGTAGCCTTTGTGAATCTCTGTTATGTGTTTTCTATGTTTTCAGTGTATGGCACCCAGGATGGGTGATTCTACAGAGACAACAACTAGACTAAGGGTTCCTGGGGGTGTGGCGGGAGGGGTAGTGGTATGGGAAAAGGGACGCTGATATTAAGGAGTCAAGAAGGAAGAAAATGCTTTGAAACTGATTTTGGTAGCAATTGTACAATACTGTTTTATGGGATCGAATGATGGAATGGCATTATGTGTGGGTTAGCTCCTCATAAAATGATTTGGAAAACATTTTTCTTGAAATATTTTACAACATTGAAAATGCAAAGGATAAAATGTTGGAAGCTGATTCAAACATAGGAAAGAATATAGAAAAACACAGAAAATGTGCTTACCAGGTGGGCCAAACTAACCTTTATAACAAAGCCATTTATTTGTAAATCGCCTCTCCAGATTTTGGCTAGAACTCTGAGATTTTCACACTGGAGGCTATAGCACAGCCCTTCTGGAGAAATTAACAGGATTTCTCCTTTCTAGAGAGGAAGAGGAATGGCGCGCCGGGTATGTGTTGGGTCGCTAAACTACAACTGTAGTAGTTAGAAAACACCAGCTGCTCTGTAGGAGAAAGATGAGGCTTTCTACCCCCAAATTTACAGTCTCAGAAACCCACAGGGGTACTACCCTGTCCTAGAGGTCTCTATGAGTTGGAATTGAGACTTGGCAGTGAGAGTTGAAAGAGACTTTAATATCAGAGGCTCTTTCATCCTGTGTTTGGTGCTATTGCGAATGATCCACTAAAAAACCAACAAGTCTAAGCATCAAAATCTTGATACCTTCTAACCCGAAAAGCCTCTCCAGATTCTCAAGTGATATATAAATTTACTTGTACTGCTACATCACTTGATAAATGCACAGTATAAGCATGTTCTTTTCTTAAAACCAATTCAATGATTATGAAGACTTCACATGGGTTCAGCCCTTTGGGATACTTTTGGGAGAAATGTTGGGGTAGCATTATGCTCATGAGCAGATGTAAATACAGTGCCGTAGACACTCAGCTGAGTAATTGAATTAGTACAAACCGAATTAGTACAAGTGTGCATGTCCACTGACTCCACATCCCAAGCTTTTCTTATGCTGCAAAATATGTTTTTAAATTTTTATTTTTTGCAAAATATTTTTAAATTGAGTAATCCATCTACACTTATATATCAAAAAAACCTATGAGAAAGAAAACTTTAATTAAATATAATCAAATTGCAGGAAGAAGACTATAGATAATTTAAGGACTGATCGGACTTTGGCTAGATGGCAAAAATATATATGGTTGGTCACTCCTTATGAAAAGAATACATAGCAAGGGCAAAAAAAACCGATCCCTGCGGGTTGGACAAGTTTCTTATATTTCATGTGGGATTTGGAATCTGAAGCAAACGTAATGACATGAGACTACCTGTGGGGTTAGATGTGAATAGAGTAGGATAGGAACAGCAGAGTCGCAATTATCCCCACCTCTGAGACAGAGGGGACATGGGTTAGACCCGGCAGGATAGAGCACTGCCTTTCCCCAAGGGCACTGCCTCGCCAGCCCTAATCCAAGGTTCCTGGGGACTAGAGTTTTCTAAGAAGATAAATCACCAAAAAAGATGGTTTAGGATTTAAGGTCTAGAGTATAAACTATTTTAGGAACAGTAAATAAAAAGGGCTAACAAGAGGCCAGAAGTCGAAAATAGGAAAAGATCTAAAAGTACTACACAAAATGTGTCGGATGAGAGGATGAACTGAAAGTAGAGGTAAGAAGAGATCAGGAGGCAATGTGAAACAGATAGGTAGGTCTTGAAGCACTTGACTTTGAGGATATATATTTCCTTTTGCTTTAAAGGGACCACAGCATTACCGGGCTGAGTTTGGACATAATCCTTAGGCTGTCGTGTCAAATAGAGATGGATTCAAAGAAATACACTTTCAGACATGTATGAAGTAAGTCTTCCAGGTCTAAGCACATGATGCTGAAAGAAGTCCTGGAGGGGCTGGGGAGTCGCCATGAGGCTGCTCAGTGCAAAGTCGGTGGCAATCCAAACCCACAAGGCACTTTTGCTTGGACAGTCATTTTTACCATCTAACAGCTAACTAGCAATGCCAAGGGAACTTGACAAGCGAGGTAACGGGCGGCTCTCCTTTCTGTATCTTCAAACACGATCAATGTATGCATCTGATGTGTAGTAAGCAGATGACTTTACGTCTGACCTACAGTCTTCATTTTTGCCAAGAACAGCCGCTTCACAGTTCCCCATGCCGAAACTGGTTCTATGTGGAACAAGGCCTCGAACCACCCAACGCTGTCAAGTCAGTTCCGTAACAAAACCTTTCCGTGGATTCCAAGTATTCTTGAGAAGTCCTTATCCTGATTCTGCCCACACTCTGCTCATGACCTGCCACCTGCTGCCCGTCACCCATGGCTCACCCCTGTGGGGCCTTTCAGGTCCCCACACATGCCGGGCTTCCTTATGCTGAGTCTGCCCCCTGAACCTTGGTCATCCTTTAAGGCTCAGGGCCTCTATTTTCAGTCTACGCTTTTATAACCCGCAGTTCACTTGTCCAATGGCGATTCAATGGTTCTCCCTCAAATAGGGTTGGGGGTTATAAATGAACTTCCCCCTTGTGTGGGCCTCACGTCCCTCCCTCCCTCCTCCCTCCTCGTCTCCCCAGTCCGTC